CAACGAAACGTTTATAAATATTATTCGCCTTCGTTGTACTCGGGAATCATATCTCAAATCAAAATATACGAAGACGAATGAAAGGAAAGGCGATCAAGGACTCTCACGATCAGCGATCGAGGAAGAATGGAGAGACTTCTTTTGCCTGCATTGTGAACGTAATATTTACGGTCCCTCGCGAAACGTTCTCATTATTCTTTCGTCGAATCGGTTTCCATTTTTTTGCACGTTCCGACGAAAGCGATCGTGACTTTTCATTCCGAAGATGCAAGGCAAACGAGATTTAATAATAACATTTCGTACTCGATCACAGCTTTCGCGATTCTTGATAAATATGATCATACTCTCGCGATACGAGCTTGAGGCGGACGCGAAAAAGCTTGGACCGCGAAAAATGACCCAAATTCTTTCCGCGACGAATACATGATATTTCAATTAAGCGGACTCATTACATCCTTGTCCAACGTTATTTACATATTTAAAAAAATCTTGTTATAGAACGAGATCCTGCCCGAGAGATGAATGTCACCGACGGCGAGCCTTCTGAAAAAAACGAGGCGGGCCGCTTGACAGGATACATATTTCCATAAAGCTATAAAAAGAGTATATTATATACCTACGATGAAAAACGGAATTCGGTGTATTTTTGAAGCAGAAACACGGTGCTGGGATATCGTAAGAGAAATCGAAGCGACAATTTGTACACAGAGAATAAGTGAGTAACATTTTTCAAATTTTTTAGTGTTATATAGGAATGGATGAGCATGATGTGATTATTGATGATGTGAAATTAAACGAAATTACTTAATTCGTTAATGCATCCGAAGAAATCTGTAAAATTGGAGTGCATTTTTGTTGTTGCATTTTAGAATGCATTTTAATTTTTCCAATTTCTTCAGATGCATTAACAAATTAATATAACAAATTATACTTCCACGCATCTTGTAGATAACCGTCCATCCTCATAAAGTGGATTCGATCGTACAAGTTGCAACGCAAAAAATACACACTATAAACAAATCATGAAATCGTGTAAAATAGAGAAATAAAACGAACCTAAAGAAATAATAATTTTTTAAACGTCGAGAAAGAAATTTATTTTTATAACTTTTCAACTTAATTTGACAAAAGTCGTTCGAATACTTATGCACATTTATTTATGTCTTTTAATGTATATTTATTTAAATATATGGTGTAGAAGTCAATGTTATATCAGCGTTCGAATACTTTCGTGTACGAGTGTCTACATAAATGCACAAAAGTGTTCGTACACCTTTTAAAACGCAATAACTTTTTTAAAACTGGACTAAATGACTTGAATTTTCTTTTTTGATGATAGTGGGATTAGTCCACTAGCCGAAGACCAAGAAGCTTTTTTTCAATTTTGCTATTGCTTAGAATGACAAAAAAAAATAAAAAGCTCTCGTTTTTTTTAACTTCTTTATCGTTTAATTGAGTTTTAAAAAAGTTCTTACGTTTAAAAGGTGTACGAACACTTTCGTGGGACACTGTAGTTTCCTCAGCACCCTGAAAATACAAAAATTAAGTGACACCTTTCCGAAAGACACGTCTGTCAAGGAAACAGAGAATTTGACCGGCGCAATTAACTTTTTCAGGTGCGCAAGAGCGAACGTTGTCCACCGGCTGCTCGGACACCTGTGCCAGTGTTAGTTTCGCGTATTCGGTTACATACCTGCTCGTACCGAGTAACTTTCACCGAACGAGCGAGCGAGCGAGCCAGGGCTGCAGCCACGGTCAAATCGTCAAACCACCGCGCCCAATGTCAAGATGTGGCCCCATCGTAATCGCGCCCCGCATTACGTGTTTCAACGCCGCGCGAAACCGGTTCACTTTTGCTAGACCGGTTGCCGAAAGAATTCGACCGAATGGACGATGGATTGCCTTGGCCGAAACTGCTGCTCTCTTCCTTCGCCGGTCGTAATTAGAACGCTAGCGTTCCGCCGAAAACGATCATCGAAATTGCCGGCCAAGAGAATCGGCGAAACACCCTCGCGGAAACGACGAGAATCTTCCGCGATCGTAAAACGGATTCCGTGTAAAACGATCTGTTACCGGTGTAACATTTGCGTGGATTAGGTTTTTACGATGTATTCACAGCGACTCTTGTCAATAGACCGCGGGTCTTTATGCAAATTATAATTGCACCGGTTAGAAGACGGTAGGAGAGCCAAGAGAAAATTTTTTAAGCTCTTACATAATTCCAATAAGTTGGGATTGATGCATCAATATTTTTAGCTTCTCTTAATCTGTTCGCTATTTTATGTTCCACCTATTCACTTTTTGTCATAAATGCATAAAATCCGCGGTCTACTTATTAATATTCGGACACCTGTCGCTAATTTTTCTTTAACTTGTAAACAAAATTGGACAATTTGGGAAGAGGAGATACGATTATTATAACACGACAATTATAACAACGAGGTGCAAGGCTCGAATAATGGTATCTCCACTGTCCAAATCGTCCATCTTTGTTTACACGCGGAGGAAAATTAGGGAGAATTTACTGTAACTGTTCTAAAACGTGACCATAAACGGCTTGAATTTTGTTTCGACGATAGAAGGACTAGTCCACCGAACAATGATTAAAATACTTTTTTTGCAATTTCGCTGTTTCTTGGAATGACAAGACTCTCGTTTCTTAACTTCTTTTAATCCGAGCCTATAAGGAAAATTTAAAATACGCGTTTCGTAGGACTCGGTAACTTACGCGCCGGCTGCAAATCTCATCGGTGTCCGACTGTTAATAAGAGTCGCTGTATGTGGAGTACCAGATGCGGATTTGTATTGTAAAGCGAAACGTGAAATTACGCGGTCCCGATACCCCGTCGCGAGCGATCTGTGGATTGCTTTGGAACCGGGTCACGTAGATGGTACCTAGAAGAGGAGAGTGCAAGTGCCATCGTGACCGGTGTGTACCTTTTTCTCTCCTACGGACGAAAAGGTTACCAGGCATTTTCCACGCGTTAGACAATGAAAAATGGACGCGGCTATTACAGAAACGCGAATTCCACGTTCGACGTATACGTTTTCCCCTGCGGGTCACGGAGCGTCGTCGTTACGGTGAACTTACGAATAAATTATCACCTCGACGGTGTAACGCAACGATCGCTGGTCGAAGAGAATACCAATTGTCTTGTTTCGTAGGGATTCGACATAAAAAAATTGTGGAAAGTTACTAACAGGTCGGTCCATAGGTTCGTCAGGATTTAATTTCAATTTCAATTTCCCGCATCGTAATTGCCTAACAATTATGTCTCATACGTAATTCGATAGCGTCGATTTTCTCCTGTCGCGCGATCATCTACTTATTCGTTTCGCGTGACTAATAAAGTGATTAATTTTTTGTAAATTATGGCGTGTCGACAAGTTTACAAGAACGAACATCCCCGACGTGTAATATAGGTCCGATTAAATTCGTGATAAAGCGATTAATTTTTTGAAAGCTACGCAGTGCCAAGTTAACGGGAACAAAGTTTAAGCGTCGCGAATTTTGTTTAGGTGATAGCGGGACTAGTCTACCAGATGATGACTAAAATGCTTTTTTTAAATTTTGCTGTCACTTGGAACGACAAAAAAAGAAAAAAGAAAATAAAAAAACTCTCACTTTCTAACTTTTTTAACTAAGCCTATAACGAAAATTTAAAAAATGCATCTTACAGATCTCGGTAATTCCTCTTCCCGTATTGTCCATTTTTGTTTGCAATCTGAACGCGAATTAGAGAGAAATTACTGTGGATCGAAATGAAAACCGTACGAACTTTTCAGAACCAGCGCCGATCGTAAATCATTTCTGCTCGCTTTACGAAAATGATAATCACCGTCGAAAGCCGACGATATTAAAGTGCCGGCTATGAAAACAGTCAAATTAATTTTCGCACGATTTTTCAGCGCAATGGCGTCGCCCTGCCCGGTGTCGAAATCCCCGATTCGAAACTTTCTTCCAGGCCGCGGGTGCGCGTTCGACGTTCTAGAAGGAACGAGACCGGCGCACGCGTTTCTCGTGGGTACACCTCCGAAAAACTTAATCGTTCTGGTTCACTTTTATTACGCAATCATTTAAATCGAGGACCTGGAATTCGGCCGCCTTTCTCCCCCGGTAATGGATTCAGTCCGCGCGAACGAGATCAATTTTGTCGCACGTGAGTCAACGGTTTTCGTCTCGTTGTTCGACCTTCGTTTTCGTTAATATCCATCGTTCACATTCACATTTACGTTACAGACGAAAACTACCTGCGCAGAAGACCATACGCAGCAAAAGGCTGGAGTCGGTTTCCCGGGACGCCGACCAGAAAAAAATCACGTTATCCTCCTGCGAGCCGCTTTCGGATTCTACGCGCATTTTCATCAGACACGCGACATTTTGCAACGGACTGCGTGACGAGAGTGGACGCGGCAGAAATTTGACAATTTCGCCGGGACAATTGAGAAATAACACGAAAGTAGAGAGTAGAAAGTGGGTCGGGCTAGGCGAACGCAGCCGCGACCGGCCGTGGGTCGCGAGAATCGAAGTGCTACCCTATTTCCAAGGTCGCGCGTAGGCGCCGGAGAAATCGTACAGAAACCAGTAAATAAAAAATGGACGTCGATACCAGTCGAAGCCAAGACCAAAAGCCTTCCAATTAGTCCAAGATGGAAGTCTCCGCGCGTGGAATCCTCAAGAGGCAAAGTCAAGACCTTACATGAGACCTTCGTGAGAACGGGACAGCCGACGTGCGACAATTCGCACGTTTCCAGCGTTGGTTCGCCGAATTTTCTGTACTTTCACAGCTCAAGGTACTTACGGCCGCTTTTACTTGTCCTTGCCAACAATGTTGCAAGGGGAGCGGTCGCATGCTTCAAACTCTCACCGCGAACGAAGACGAATTGTTGGCAGCGGCGAAGGGCAAAGAGCAGCGATGCAGTGTCCGAACGAAAGGAATCCTCGTTCTTTAAGAACCCAGACCCTTGTGCCAGCCGTATCGCGACTAGCTTAGTCTTTCATTCCCCACTGTTTAAAGGATATGAACATTGGTCTAGTTCAGGTCCAGGTAATAATTACAATCACCTCGATATCTTACACAAACACCTAACACCTTTATACGTCTCCTAACTGTCATCATTGCAGACCGAGATGATCCGTGTGAAACGCAGTAAATTCTACCAGACTGTTCCTCGGCTTGGAAACGAAAAATGGACAACTTGAGAAGATCGGATGCGATTATTCGAGTCCCTCGTTTCTACAGTCGCCGATCGTCGCCAAATCGCTGTACTCCCAATTACTCAAAAATCGAAAATGGAAGCTACCAATCAAGAAGAGACCATTCGCTCAACGATATCGCTTCCACAAGATCTCAAGCGAAGCCTGGAGATGCGCGAAAGAGACTCCGAGACCTCCCGAGGTCAGTTGACGCAGCTAAGCCTGAAACGTTGACAAGGCAGAAGACATGGAATAGACAGCTAGGCGTATACATTGATAACGTGTTTAATTGTAGACAAACGAGTCTGCTAGAAAAATAAATAAGGTTTAGCCTGAGTCGACGCCGATAATTATCTTAAGCACGCAAGCGGAGTCGCTTAGAGGTAGTGTGGTTGAGCGGCGTAGCTGAAGGCGGGCGCTGCTGCGAACTTGGCGATGGGGGCTGGGTGGGCGGAGTAGGCAACCGGAGCGGCGTGGGCGACGGCGTATTGAGCGGCTGGGGCAACGGCGTATTGGGCAGCAGGGGCAACGGCGTACTGGGCGGCGTAGGGTGCGGCGTAGTGGGCAGCCGGGGCAACGGCGTAGGGTGCGGCGTAGGGTGCGGCGTAGTGGGCAGCGGGCGCTACGGCGAGCTTAGCGGCGGGGGCTGCGATCAGCGGAGCGTGGGCCAGAGGGGTGGCCAACTTGGCGACTGGGGCAGCGGCGGCGTAGGCCAGAGGAGCTGCGTGGGCGATGGGTGCGGCGTGAACGAGCGGGGCGGCGGCGACGGCCTTGACGGCGACGGCAGCGGGTTCCTTGCGGACTACGGCGTTGAATCCGTTGACTGGGTCAGCGGTGTAGTCGACGGTGCGTTTCGTTCCGTCAGCCTCCAAGAGGGAGTAGCTGCCCTGGACGACGTCTCCGTCGCGGGTCTCCTGCTGGCTCTTGGCGTCACCGGTCAGGCTGTCATGGACATCGTAGGCGTAGCTGTATTGTGGGTGCGGGTCGTAGTCGGCGTCCACGGTCTTCGCTACCACTGCCTTCGCCACTGGAGCCGCGGCGTAGGCAATTGGGGCCGGTTGAGCGTAGGACAGGGATGCCGCTGGCAAGAGTCCAGCGTTGGCGGCTGCCACGAGGGCCATGAGGGCGACGAACTGGAAGAGAAACGATTATTGTTAGCGGTTTTAGATGGCCGATGTGCTCCTGACTGTTCGAGGAGTCTTGTAGGACTGATTATAGCTTGTGACTAATTTAAGAAGAGCTACACGATATACAAGAGAACGCTACGTTGTCAGATAGTTTACTGTGCGAGGGATGATGCGTTGTTCTAGTTGAGTTAGACTGCGACTTAGTTAGGTTTAGCTAATAATTTGTACCGTCTACAGAATAGCAACATTGATCTAAGTAGCCGAGTTTAGCTGATGGCGTCTCTCTACTGTTCGAAGTACAACAATTTAGATTTCGCTGATTTCTACTATTTGCGGAATAATAAGAACGAGTTAGCCGAATTAGCCAAGTTTAGCCAGCGGTGTTTCTCAACTGTTCAAAGTACAACAAATGTAACGTTGCTCTAAATTACACGATATCAATGTAAGGTGCAGCTAATTGTCTCTATTGTCCAATGAGCAACAAATGCAAGATTTCTCTACTTGAATTAAATATTTGTTAAACGCGACAGCTCTAACGTTGCCGGCTCGAATCCTGAGGGATTAAGTCGATTAGACCTTTCCGACTGGTCCTGGTAGGATCGTTTAAGCCGGCCAGGATCTTTTACCCACCTTGAATGCCATTGTTGAGGAGATTTGGTTGGTTTGGATCGACTGAGCGACTGATGATGCTAAACGTTTGTCCAGCCGGGTTTATATACCGGCGACTGGGCCCACAGCTGCCGTGTACTCCCCACCAAATTCGTTTTGCCGGACTTTCGAAGTTTGGCAGCCAGATCGTATCAGCTAACCGCACTTGAACTTGGCCGGTACGGGTGTATCAGGGGACAGGGCACACCCACGGGTTGACTAAAATCGAACCGGAACCGTTACACTCGATCTAGTTAAAACTGCTTTAAAAAAAAGAAAAATGTAATAGAACTGTACACCTTGTTCCCGTTTTCTTTGTCGGCTAATCGTCGTACAGGATTCATTCACGAATGATCAAGTTCGTTCGACAGCCGTTAAGATATCGTTTTAAAATTATTTTGATATCGGATTATGTAAATTGTTTTAGGATTATATTTTTATAGTATTATAGTATAGTATAGTAGTATAGTATTATATATATTATTTTATATAGTAGACAGTCTGAACGATATTAATGGTAAATTATTGTTCAATTTATTATTAATATCAGTAGTAAATTATTATTAAATTTTTATTATTGATATTAATAGTAAATTATTATTAAATTTATTATTGATATTAATAGTAAGTTATTATTAAATTTATTATTGATATTAATAGTAAATTATTATTAAATTTATTATTGATATTAATAGTAAATTATTATTAAATTTATTATTGATATTAATAGTAAATTATTATTAAATTTATTATTAATATTAATAATAATAACGATAGTAATAATTGGACCGTGGATATTTTATGGAAAATCAAAATTTTCGAAGACGATTGTAAGATAAATTAATATTATATAAAGATAAATTGTTTCATTTGATAATTTTGATAAGTTGAAAGTAGCGTAATAAAGTAATTAAATTCTCCTTACGTCCTCGCGATTTTATACTTCGACCACCCATTTTTACCATGAATGCGTAAAATCCGTAATCTGGTAATAATAATTGTGACTGCAGCAATGTTTTCTACATTTTATAGTAATATTACGATTTTTCCTATCATTTTCACTGACGATCGTGCCGCGTCGATAGTCGATCTCGTTGTTCAACAAAAACAGGGACAAAGCATCTATATTTTCGAAATTTATATATTTCATTCGAAATTCGCTTTCATAGAATGGCTAATTATTAGACAGAGCCTGTAGCAGAGCGATTCGATCAATCAAATACACGGATCGCATTCTACCGGCATTTAAATGTTAATTGTTTAACAGTATTACTTAAAACAGTTCATCTCGTAGCGCCGCATTTAATATCGAATAAATTTGCAAGATTTAAAAATAACCGGTTTTTATTCTGCAATTTCGTTTTTCACGAACATAGTCGTAGGCAAACTTGTCGCCTTCTTTACATAAATCATAATTAACCGAACTTTTAATGAGACTCCGACTGAAATGTAAATAACACGCCCGATTAAATTAATAATTGCTTCGGATCGAAATCGATCGGTCGATGAAAAAAAGTTCGGGGACCGAAGCATCGATGAAGAAATATTGTCTCCCGCTTCCTGCACGCTGAGATTTTGATCTCGTTCACACAAGGTCAAGGGAAATCATTTAATGATAGACCATTAAACATTCTACGTCCGGTTGTATGTAGTAATTTCCGACGTTTAAAAAATTATCAATGTTCAAGCTGTTACGATTTCGCAAGAAAGAATCGCACAGCAACGAACGTAAATACATTTTATAGCTTAAAGCCACTAATTTAATAATTCGTCGTTAATTTTCATCTAACGTTATTTCGGGCAAATAGTAGAAATCGAAACGTCTCGAAACATACCGCAATATTTTATTATTATTTACTTGTTTATATTTATTTACTTATTTATTATTAATTATATATACTTATTATTATTTACTTATTTATTATTAATTATTTATTACTTACTTATTACTATATTACTACTTATTTACTTATTTATTATTAATTATTTATTACTTACTTATTATTATATTACTACTTATTTACTTATTTATTATTAAATATTTATTACTTACTTATTACTATATTACTACTTATTTACTTATTTATTATTAATTATTTATTACTTACTTATTATTATATTACTACTTATTTACTTATTTATTATTAAATATTTATTGCTTACTTATTACTATATTATTACTTATTTACTTATTTATTATTAAATATTTATTGCTTACTTATTACTATATTATTACTTATTTACTTATTTATTATTAAATATTTATTGCTTACTTATTACTAAATTATTACTTATTTACTTATTCATTATTAAATATTTATTGCTTACTTATTTACTTGTGTATTATTTTTTTATTATTACATACTATACTATACGTTTACTATACTATTACATATTTTCCATAGATCCGAATCCTAGGACTCGAGCTTTACAAAGATCCACACGAAACGGGATGCACCGATTTTTTCACCGTATCACAGCAGAGTGCAGCTTAATATAATACCGTATAATATGACTGTAAAGATGCCAGCACTTCATATTTTTACGTTTCCAAACATTTACTGCTCGCGTCGTCCACTGAATACAGAAATTTATACGATGCGTCCCATCCACGTGTTCGTACATTTACCGGCTGCATAATCTATTAAGCGCATAAACTTATTTGTTTATTAAATTCGTATCTCCGTACGTTTGCTGCTCGCATCCTTGTATTAACTGCGCAAACTTATCTCCTATTAAATTCACGTGTTTATAGATTGTATCTCTTACAACTTTAACGTCCGTATAAATTACAAATTACTGGTGAGATACAATAAGATACGCTCGTATCAACAAAGTAAAACTGCAATTTTATATTACAGTAAATACTCCCCCAATTGACGCTCAGCTTGGAAACAAAAATGGACAATTTTTGCTCGTTTTTACAGTTAGTTATTATTTTTGCTAAGTATAATTAGCTATTATATTATATATATAAGCTATTATAGCTTATATATTAGTTTATAAGCTATTATAGCTTATATATTAGTTTATAAGCTATTATAGCTTATATATTAGTTTATAAGCTATTATATTATATATATTATTAGCTATTATATTAGCTATTATATTATAGCTATTATATTTATTATTTTATATTATAGTTATTATTTTACATCATCATGTTATATCATTTTATATTATATTTCTTATATTTTTAGTAATATATACATATATAAGTGACGCTCAGCTTGAACACAAAAATGGACAATTTTGGAAGAGGAGATTAAGGTCAATTAGAGAGTAATATCAAAGTCTTCTAAATATTTATGGCAAAAATAACTCTAATATAGTGATAATAACACAATAACTGCAATATATATATATATATTACAGTTATTGTGTTATTATCACTATATTAGAGCGTCACTTAGGGAGTACTTTCTGTATCCAGAACAGGGATTACACCGTGGATGTGAAAGGGTGAAGGGACGTGCTCGCGAGCTGACAGAGCACTCTCGCACGATATCGTGTAATTAATTGTAATTTACGTAATTACAGAATGTTTCAAACGTCAGCTTAAAATATTAATTGCAGCGTGTCGAAGAGTGCGAGGCAGTCAATGACAGCGGCAATAAGAAGTGGCGTTACGACCTCTCTCACCGTTAATTGAAACTTTTTCCTCGACGCTGAGAATCCGGAATGCGGCCGAATCGCAACCATATTCGTGCACTTGTATCGTAATGATAAAATTCCACGTATTTTTCTGCATTTCTCTTAGTGATCATCGAATCGATTCTTATATCATATGAAAAAGTTCGATTCAATAAGTTCGCCACTTTTCGATATTCCAACTATTTTAATTGTACATATACGTTTCGCTTGCAGTACGATAAATTCTTATTACGACGTAATGCTTTTTTGTATTATAGAAAGCAAATCTTAAATGGATAAAAAATAAATCGTTATTATTATTATTATTATTATTATTATTATTATTATTATTATTATTAATATTAAGTATAATTGTATGCAATATTGTTTAGCGAATTAACAGAATAATAAATTAATAGAATAATGTTATTAATTAATAAATAATAATAGAATAATAAAAATAATAACAGAATTAACACA